TACCTTCCCTCCCCGTGGCCGGAGCCTAGAATGTCTCGTTCATTTCCTGGCCGCTTTGGAGAGTTGCTGTGCTGTTGTGCATTACTGAAGCAGCAACGGCATTTCAAAGGCAGGTGCCTGCCAGCTGTTCCCACTCCCCTCAGCTCAGGTTCCAGCACCCTGGAGGTCAAGATCAGATGGTTTGTGCTTTGCTCGGGGGATTTCCTTTATTTACTCTGCACAGGCCGGTTTGCTCATAAAAGTTTAACGATGCGAATACCTTGCCTGTCTGGATGCCAGGTCGTTTGGGCGGGCGATTGTGCGCCTCCGTTGTACACACTGTCACAGTGATTGCGTGTGCAGTCGGTCAGGCCAGTCATTTCGTGGACTGGAAGCTCTTTGGGGAAGGGATGTATGTACAGCATCGTGCACAATGGGCCCCCAGTCCTGAGTGGGGCCACTGGGCAGGACTGTACGATCAATATTACATGTGCAAAATAATAATACTGGCGTTTCTAGCAATCTTCAGCAGCAGATCTCAACATGCTTTACAAAGGAGGGTGGTATTATTATCCCGATTTTACAGATGGGGACACTGAGGCAAGGTCACCCAGCAGCCTCGTGACAGAGCTGAAGGATCTCAAACCCCCTCCCAACCATTGCTGGCTTTTCATATAGGACGGGGACACACACACAGAGACACACACACGTCTCTGTCTAGCATTATCCGCATTGTGCCAGCAAAACTGACGCATAGAGAGGTTAACTGACCCGTCTAAAGTCACGCAGTGAGTCCGAGGCAGCGCTGGGGATAGATCCTTGTTCCTTGCTCTGCTGTTTGTTTAGTGTGTTGTTATTAGGGAGCAGGGCCCCGTGGTGCTAGGGCTGCCCAGGGCTTTTGGTTAGTTACCTTCTTTCTGCAGGCCCCTCAGGATCGGGCCCAGACGCTGTTCCCAGGCAATGGCTCCTCGGGGGCCTGTGTGAAATTAGCGTGGCCCAGTCGCCGTGCAGGGAGTGCCCCCGCCCTTGCTGGTGGGCTCCATTGTGCCCCCGGTGAGCAGCCGCAGCGGGGGGGCCATGTGTTGGGTGGGCCACAGAGGCTGAGCCCCACTTTCGCCCCAGCAACTGACTAAACCCTGGGAAAGCTCCCTCTGGCGTGGACCTGGGCCCCGGGAGCACCTCATCCTGTGTCCCTGCAGTTTCGAATCGCAGCTCCCGTGTGCATTAGCCCCAGGAGCAAGACACAAACCTCTGGGCACCTGTAGGGAGATGGCACTGCAGGGTGGAAAGGTTTGGCTCTTTTCCCTACAGCCGCAGTCAGGTTTCCGTGCGTCCTTCCTTTTGTGTCTGGCTCTATAACTCCTAGACAACACTATTCCTTGATGAATTCCAGCCGTGCTCTGTACACAGCCCTCAGCCGGGCTCTCCGGGGACTCATTTTCTTCTCCTGCCAGCAGTGGAAGGACACCGGTGTCATAAACGGTGTGATTTGTTGGAGCAGGACCCAGACACTAATGGCTCCTGAATCTAAAGAGGGATTTTAATTAGTGGAGAAAACTTTCCAACAGGAGACTGAAAGCAATTAGGGCCTTTCGCTTTCCACAAGACCTTCCTCCTCATTCATTTCTTTTGTCCCCCTCGCTCGTTAGCCGAGCTGTTTAAATAATAATACTTGGTGCACACCTTCAAACACTGGTTAATCTTCACTCCGGGGGCTGCTTTCAATTTCTTCAAATGAAAAGGGGCTTTTTTGGAGTGGAAAAACCCCCAACCTTTTTAAAAATAAAATTGGCCAAAAAAAAAAAAATGGTGTCACATTTGTATGGCAGTGTTTTGTTTCCCCCAAACCAGGGCTTTGGCCAGTGGAAATGGAATGTTTGGGAGAATGTTTTCAGTAATCTGCGGAGTGGAAAGTGGATAAATGTCACCCACAAAACTTAAAATTGGCTCATTCGAACACTGCCGAATGAAGACCGTTTTTAAGTTGTTCACTAAACAGGTTTCCAGCCGGCTCTGTCCCAGCCCCTTTCCTGGGCTGGGTAAGGACCCCACGGTTCCTCTTCTTAAACCAGAGCAAAGAGAAGGTGACGTGGCAAAGGCCACAGAGGGAAGCTGTGGCAGAGCCAAGATAAGGCGCTGGGGGTTCTCGGCAGTTAGTCCTTCATCACTACATTAAAACCCTTCCTAGGCCATTGGCTTCTGTTTTAATTTTTCCCGCCATGCTGTGAACCTAGTGACCGCACGCATGTGAAATGTCACAGGAAAACATTCACTGCTTTGCCCAGCGGCACGTGCTTCCCGCATCTCGCTCCGCTGTGAAATGCAACAAATCGACCCTTCTCGCTGTCTGACTGGAAACGGGCCCCTCTTCCGGCCCACCAGGCCCAATCTTCTGGCTTAAAACCCGCACGATATTGCAGACTCTGGCTCTATCCGTCTCCAGCTCGTGAGCAGGGAGTGTGGGGGAAAGCCCTGGAAATCGCACTGAGGCCTTGTCCCCAGACCGAAGTGGCACCAGTTTAACTAACAGACACAAACACTCATATGGCTAGCCCAGTGCGACCGCCTGTGTGGAGACCGTTTCAGGCAGGTCAGAGGGGCTTAGCTGAACTCAGTGAATGTACATGCGACAGGCCTATCGCCAGTATTGCATCAGGCTGGCTGCCTGCCGCGGGACTAACCAGCTTTAAAGTTAGTTAAACCAGTGCCGGGGAAAAGGTGCCTCATACAGGCCTAGCTTCTCCCCTTTCCTGCGTAGGAACAGCGATAGCGCTGCTGTTAAAGCACTCCGGGTATAGTTACACTGGTGGTTACAGCCGTACGGCTCCTGTGGCTGTACACCAGGCCGGCAGTGCAGAGCCCCGTCTCCCTGTGGTGTTTGTGACGTCACAGCCGCTTCCCCCGCCACAGCCCGGCAGCCGGACGAGGCTTTCCCACTTCTGCTTACAAAACCCCAGCCGGCCTCGGCCCCCCCAAGGGAAGCAGCAAGCCGCCAGCCAGCCCCCACTTCCCGTCCATCTGCCTGTCTCGCCCTGCCCCTGGCCATGAGCCAGGCTGGCAGCCCTAAGGGGAACTGAACGTACCACGCCATGGTCATGGGCAGCCCTGCCAGCTGGTGCCGCTTGGAAAGGTGCCTCCTCCCAGCCATGTGGGTACTTGGTGCAAACCGATGTGGGGAGGTCCTGTAATGCCCTAAAGCCAGGGGGCAGGGGAGACGCTCTGAGCAGGGACTCGCTTGGGCTGGCTTTGGGCCCATCTGCTGCCTCAGTTTCCCTCTAGGCTCCAAAGTCTCCCTGGTCATTTTTCAGGGCTTCCCCTGGCTTACAGCCTGGCTTGCAGCCTGCCTTGCCTTCCCTCCAGCCACACGACTCCTCGGTGGCCCTCCGCGCTGGGGCTTTTCCCCCAGCAGGCTCCTGCTCCCTGCATGGCTCTCCCCCTCTCCCCGACCTCAGGCTGCCCTCCTCTTCCCCCTCAGGCCTGGTTTCTAGTTCCCTGCTGCCCCACACCTGTTCCGTCCACCTGGGGAGGTGGCTACACCTGGTCTGAGCCCCCAAGCCCCTCAGAGGGCCAGCTCAGCTTGCGAGACGCTCCCTTTGCCCAGTGGGAATGGAGAGGGTATAACAGTCCGAGGATGGGGCTGAGGGCTGGGCTCCTGGGAGTCCCCGATTCCTCGGATCCCTTCTCTAGCTTCCTTGTGCGTTAAGCTCTGGTCGTTCCTGCATGTGTCTGCTGCCGTTCCCTCCTGCTCTCTCTCTCTCTGCTCCCCCCCTTCACGCTGCCGCCTGTGCCCACGTGCTCTCCCTAAACCGGTCTCCCTCCTGAAACCTCTCCCCTGCCAGGACGCCCCAGGCCCAGCATGCAGGGACCCACTTCTCCACCGCCCCTCATCTCTGGCATAGAGAAGCAGCAGCTCTGTGTCACCGCGCAGTGCGTTGGGCAAAGTCTGGGGGGGAGCCTGCGTCCCCCACACCAGCACCTTCCCCACCCAACTCCACAGCTGCAGGAGTTTGCTGTTCCCGTCTGGCCGTAAAGCCCAGATTCACGTTTCTTATGGACCCCCTTGAGCCAAGGCAAAGGTCCAGCTACGAGCGTGAAATAAACCAGCTGTGCAGCCCGGGGGAGTGACAGCCGAGTGCCTGGTACATGCAGCGCTGAGAGAGAGGTGAGAGAGCGGGGTTCCCTGGAGCTGGAGGACCTGATACAGCAGCCTAGCAAAGAGCAAGCGCTGAATCAGAGGGATCAGCATGGACAGCTGGTGTGCGGCTCGCGGCGCCGGGGAAGCAGCCTTGTTCTTCAGCTCCTAATAAATGCAGCCCAGTGGCAGCAGCAATCGCGTCTGCCTGCGTGTGCCCCGGCGCCTCTGCAGAAGGGCCTCGGTTCCTCTGCCCGGACTCATCCGGACGCTTGGTTTCCTTTTCCCACCCCGTGGAGATCGGCTAGGGGATCTCTCAGGGCCTCTTCCAACCCTGCCTTTGTGTGAGTCTGGGAGATGGCTCCAAAACCCGCGCTGCCGACGCTGAGCGCTGTCCGCAGCTCCTGCTCCGCTTTGCCTGTCTACAGGAGTCACCATTCCGATGCAGTTTAGTTCTGCCAGGCCCCTCGGCGCGCCCGCGGCCGACAGACCCCTAGCTCCGTCCCCTTCTGGAGGTGCAAAGGATTTCCCCGTTGTGCACGGCCAAATCCTGAATCCTTCTCTCCCCTTTGAAATCTCACAATAGCACCCAGGAACCTCCGGCACGGGCCTGAGGAAACGTCCGCTCGTATAGATCTGCGGATACGAGAAGTGGATTTCCCTGCTAATGCCAGGGAAGTTATCCCCACTCCTGTCTCATGCAGGTGCATTAGAGGTGCAATTCACCCGTTTGGAGGGCGAGGACAAAGGGCTAGTCCCAGAGACCTAGATCCCTCTGGGCTGGAGTGGGACCTTGGCCTTCTTGTAAGGGCAAATTTCACCCTAGATGAGCTGAGCCAACTCGCCAAGTGTCCTGTTCTAACACTGCCCTGTGCTTCTCCCCACACAGAGTTGTCCGACGTCCGGCGCTTCAGCAGCCACGCCCTGAACTACACCACCTTGCTGCTGGAGGACGAGAAGGGGATCCTCTATGTGGGAGCGCGAGGGGCCATATTCGCCTTAAACTCCAGCAACATTGCCGACGGCTCCCAGAGGGAGGTGAGCAACACCCCGCCTGGTCTGGGCTGAGGTTCCTGAATGGCCAGTTGATTGGTTTGGGTGCTGAGCGTCAGGCGTCTGCAGCTGGGCAAAACCGAGTCACTGGTCACTTGGAATCTTGGCCTTGGCTCCTAGCTGTCTTTTTAAAAAAAAATGCAATATAGGGGTCAGATTGGTGTGGGGGGAGGACAAGGTGGTGGTACTCTACTAAGCTCCACCCACAAAAATAAACCCCACCCACAAAAATAAGCTCCGCCCACGTGTCTCCCCAAAACGAGGCCTGGCTCCCAGGACAATGTGCGGATCGGTGACCTTCCCTCTGCTTTCTCCCACGAGCAGTGACAGAATTAACCAGGCTGGTGTTTGAATTGGTGTCCCTGAGTGTCTGAGCTAACCCCTGGCAGAGCTGAAGGAGGCAGGTTTCACCTCTTCTAGCGATTGCCCCAGGCTCTCTGCCTCAGTGACGCTTGTCGAGATCCTCTTCCTAAGGAGGGCAGCTAACGACTTTTTAGTTTGTAATACAAGCTGAGATTCTGGAGAGCAATTAACAGCTCCGGCTGGATGCTCGTTAGGGCTGGGAGAGACACGGTTTTCTAATCCCAGGAGAATTTTCAACAGTGTGAAAAATGTTCCTGTCCCAAATTGCGGAAAAAAGTCAAAATGTCAAAACTGTTCAAGAACCAAAGATCCACTGTCCAGGTCAGTCCAAACGTAACGTTTCGACCCTTTTAGCCCCCCCCCCCACTCCCTTTTTTTTGTGTAAATTTACAGACATTTCTGAACTCAAAGTAATTTTGACAACAACCCGAAACATTCCGGTTCAACAGTCTCTGGTCTCTTTGACCAAAGGTTTCCAAGTCTGGTGTTTCATTGATCCTGACCTAGTTTCGTGAACAGTTTCAGTTTCGATAAATCTGCCTTTTTTGAGGGGGAAAAACACCTGTTCATCAGAGCGTTCCCAACCTGGCGGCGCAGGGAACGGGGCGCGTACTGACTGTTTCTGAAGCCTGGACGTAAAGGGCAGAAATGGGCCAGGTTCCCCTAGCGGTTCCCAAAGCGCCCTGTGTTGCTGCCCAGTTGGTTGGGGTGACGCCCATTGCTCACAGCACCTGCCCTCTCTCTGGGGCAGGAACGAGAGTTTTGCCTGCTAGTGGACGGCTCGAGGCTGGCAGGCCCAGAGGGGGCGCCCTCTACAGGCGCAGCAGCAGCAGTGCAAGCTGCTCCACTCCCACCCACAGGGCCAGGCGGCCGAAGGGGGGTGTTCCTTGGCAGAGCAGGCAAAATTGACTCTCAAGTCCATGAGAGAGGGAGGGTGGGTGGGCGGGCGTGCAACTAAAGCACAGGACTGGGATCCCCACGTGACCTTGGGCAAGTCACTTCTGTGCCTCAGTTTCCCATCTGCAAAACGGGGCTAGTAATCCTTCCCTTGTTTGCCTGGCTGTGTCTATGGTGAGCTCTTCAGGACAGGGAAGGGACGTTCTCTTGTTATTCACAGCACCTAGCACCCGGGGGCCCGGATCTCGGCTGGCGCTGCCGTGATTCCAGTCATTAGTATCAACGACCAGGCTCCGTCATCTCTCCGTGGTCTGCCTTAGCCGAGCTAGTTCTTGGTACCAAGTGAGTTTGCTCCCAGCATCCCCCTCTGCCTGACCAGGTGCAGTTTGCTGCTCCTGTCCCCACCTCACGGCCATTTCAGGTACCAGTAGCTGCACTGGAGCCGTGACTTGCGGCCGCTCCTGCGTATTGGGGTTGGTCCATCTGTCCTCCCAGCTGATGCCCCCAAGTGCTTCTCCCTCAAAGTCTAAGCTGCTTTACCTCCTTCCTTTGGGGTGCATGCCACGCCCCCCGGCAATGCCGGCTGCTGTCCGCTGGGCAAGCCGGGCTGGGGAGAACACCCTTCCCGCAAATTCCTCCCTGGGCCCTGGCACCCAGCAGCTGAAACCAAACCAAACCCATGGTGCTATAAAGCCCAGCACGGTCTGGGGGCACAGGCGTTAAGGCGAGAAGGGGCCCCCCGGTATAGCCAGACCTGTTCTCCCGCACCCAGCAGGGAGCCCAGGAATCTGGAGTAGGCCAAAGACCAGGCTGTTTGCCCCAGGCAGAGAGTGGGGGGAATCGGGGTGCAGGAGGAGGCTGGAGGGACCGGGGGCGGGGTGTCCTCAGCAGTCAGCCCTCCCTTGGGGACTCTGCTGTTCCTCAACCCGAGCGCGGCTGCTTGGAGGAAGCGCTGCAAGCCGCACTGCCTTGGCCAGGCTCTCTGCTAGCCCCAGCTGTTCATCGTCCCCTGGCGGCTTCATACGGCTGAGGCGGACGGGGGTTGTGGAGCACTGGTTCCCTGTGCAGTGGCAGAGCCCTTTGCCCATCTAAGCCGCGGGCCGTGCCTCCAGCCAGGCAGCACCTGTGCCCGTCTCGCAGAACCCCTTACCCCAAACCCCACGTGGTCAAACACGTCTGGCGCCCAGCTCCTCCCCAGATGTGACCTTTAACCCCCGGGCCCACTGCCCCCCCCCCATGCCATGCTCCTGGGCGCCATTGCAAACACGCCCCATTGAAGTCCCTGCAGCCTCCAGCTGCTAGCTCCCCTGTGCCCCCCTACGGCCAGTTCAGTGTCTCCCCAACGCTGGACGCCTCACCCCGTCCCGGCTTCTTCTCCGCCCGTCTGCCTCACGCCCTCGGTCCAGTGTCCCCTTCCTCGCTGCCCCAAGCGCCAGCACCTTCCCCCAAGCCGTGACCTCTGTAATCCACTCGTGGGCACTCCCGCTTCTCCCCACCCCTGCCAGCCCACCCCAAATGCTGCCGCTAAAGTCCTTCCCCCCGTCCCCGGATCCCCTGGCCCCACCCCCTCCTGCAGGAACTTGACACCTGCCGAGTGCCCCGTCTGCCTCCCCTCCAACTCCACAGCCGCTGCTGGGTGCCCGGGACAACTGGAACCCCCAGGGTGCTGGCTCGATGGGATGAACGGGGCTGGCACATCCTACCCCAGCCCTCTCTGCCCAGCGTCTCCTGCATTGCCAGCCCAGACGCTGCGATGGGCATGCCGGACTGGCAGTAGTCGGCAGCTAAGGATACGCGCCCACAGATCAGACCGTTGAAGGGTAGAGTTAAGGTTTTCCAGCCATTAAGTCCTTCCAGATCCTGTTGTCCTGGACACACACACGGTCTTTTGTGTCCCGATTTTAAGATCCCCCCTGGCTGACGGGCGCAGCGGATGCGATTTTGCAGCCTGACAAATTGGCTGGTGATGAATGCTGTCTCTGTGCCAGCCTCCGCGGAGCTGTCCTCCCCCGCGAGGGGCCAGTCCAGCCGGGGGTCTTACTGACAGCAAGGCTGTTTCTCTGCCAGCCCCGCTGCATGGGCAGGACGGTGTCGCCGGGCGGTGGAGGGGCATTTTTGCTTCCCGTCTCTGTCTCTCCGAGCCTTTCCCACGAGGGGCCCCTGGGCTTTTGTCACGACGGCAGCAGCGGCCCAGTTGCACGAGCGTTTTATGATGTGTATTATGGTGGCTCCGCGAGGACCCGGTGCGCCGGGCGCTGCACAGGCAGAGGGACTGTCCCCTGCCTCAGAGAGCTTTGAAATAGGTAGGGCGGAGCCTGGGCAGCAGACAAGAAGAATTGTGACCCCAATTGCATGGAGAGATTAAGTGGGTCTCCCAGGGCAGCAGAGAGAGGGTCTGATGGTGCCAATCGCAGCCCCCCCAGGCGCTACGTCACTCAAAGCTTGGGGGCGGGGGAGAGCAGCTTCAGGCATTGGCGCAAGGTCCTACGCCAGCGGAGAATTCGGCACAGCGGAGTCCTGCCCTCCCTGTCCCTGTCTGGCCCAGGAGGTGGTGGGTTTGGGTCCTACAGCTTCACATCGGTGGGCAGCGCCCCTCGTGGGGCGGATTCTCCAGGGCATAAGCTGGGTGGTTTAAGCTCCTCCGGTTCTGTTCAATATCTTCATCATTGAGTTAGCTAACGACATCGAGTGTCCAACCATACAGTGTGTGGACGATACCAAGCTGGGAGGGGTTGCGAGTGCTTTGGTGGATAGGATTAAAATTCAAACTGATCAGGACAAACTGGAGAAATGGTCTGAAGTAAATAGGATGAAATTCAATCAGGAGAAATGCAAAGTACTCCACTTAGGAAGGAACAATCCGTTGCACACATACAAAATGGGCAATGACTGCCTAGGAAGGAGAACTGCGGAAAGGGATCTGGGGGTCACAGTGGATCACAAGCTAAATATGAGTCAACAGTGTAACACTGTTGCAAAAAAAGCGAACATTATAGTAGGCTGTATTAGCAGGAGTGTTGTAAGCAAGACACAAGTAATTCTTCCGCTCTACTCCATGCTGATTAGGCCTCAACTGGAGTATTGTGTCCAGTTCTGGGCGCCACATGTCAGGAAAGATGTGGACAAATTGGAGAAAGTCCAGAGAAGAGCAACATGATTAAGGTCTAGAAAACATGATCCATGATGGAAGATTGAAAAAATTGGGTTTGTTTAGTCTGGAGAAGAGATGTCCGAGAGGGGACATGGTAACAGTTTTCAAGTACATAAAAGGTTGTTACAAGGAGGAGGATGAGAAATTGTTCTCGTTAACCTCTGAGGATAGGACAAGAAGCAATGGGCTTAAATTGCAGCAAGGGCGGTTTAGGTTGGACTTTAAGAAAAACTTCCTAACGGTCAGGGTGGTTAAGCACTGGAATAAATTGCCTAGGGAGGTTGTGGAGTCTCCATCATTAGGGATTTTTAAGAGCAGGTTGGACAAACACCTGTCAGGAATGGTCTAGATAATACTTAGTCCTGTCTCAGGGCAAGGGCCTGGACTAGATGATCCCTCGAGGTCCCTTCCAGGCCTGCGATTCTGTAAGTGGGACCAAGTGAACTGGTCAGTCCGGACGCTCTGCCCCTTTGCTTTGTGCGGGGAAGGCAGGGGAACTAAAAGCCCAGTCTGTGGTAGGCATTGTCCAGCGGAGTTGGGCGCTGCTGCTGCTCAGTGGGCCCCCAGCCAGGGATTAATAGCAGCCAGGTCCTTATTTGAGTCAAGAAGCGTGGAAAGCAAATGGACCCAGGCGTGGGGCTGTTCCTGTGCCATTAGCCTTCACCAGCCGAGCTGGCTCTTTAGGGGTTTGGGTGACATCACTCCGGGGCGTTGCGGGGCAGCTATCGTCTCCACAGCCGGGAGGCACCGGTGAGTAACGACCCCTTGTCCCTTCGCAGATCCGGTGGGAGGCGTCTCGGGAGAAGCAGACCGACTGCCTCCAGAAGGGCAAGAACAACAAGGTATTTGCGGCCGGGTCTCTGCCCGTGCGGGGGGCGGGCGGGCGCGGGAGTCGGGCCCCCGCGTGATGCTCTTTCTTCCTCTCTGCAGACCGAGTGCTTCAACCACATCCGGCTCGTGCAGAGGCTGAACGACACCCACCTGTACGCCTGCGGCACCTACGCCTTCCACCCGCTGTGCGCGGCCATCGTGAGTGCGAGCACGGGGGAATTCACGAGGAGGGAGACCCCGGCTGGGTGTTGGATGCTCCCTCCATCTTTGTTCATCACTCTGTGCTTCCGGCCCCGTCACAGGCTTCTGTCGCTCCTCGTTGCTCTCCCTCCTGGCTGGCAATATCTTCCGCAACAAGTTGCCACCAACCCTCGTAGTTGATCCATGGACCGTTCAGCGTGGGGAGCAGGGCATTGTTAGCCGGCAGGGGGCGCTCCAGACGGCCCTTGTTTGGCAGGGTTACGGGCCTGTCATGCAACCTGACAGCCCAGGCCCCGCCGCACGACAGTCACGAATTAAACGTGGCTTGCAAGGAACGTGGCTGGATGTTGGCCTCCGCCTCAGGCTGCCCCACCCAGTGTAGGGAGTGAAAAAGTCCATTCTGGGCTTTCTGTTCTTCACCTTAGTTACCTCCAGTCTTTGATAACCAGGAGAGGGCACATTTTAAATCAGTGTGTGGGGTTTCAGCTGAAGGTCCCTTCGCTGATGTCAGATGTTGTGGCCACGGGCATGATAGGCGTATCAAATATATAAAAATAGGCAGGGCTGGCAGAAGGTTGCCTGACACTTCCCATTATAAGACCCTGTTTTCAGTTCCTTACGACCGTGTCTGTCTGGTAGCCGCTTGGTCCGTTAGTTAGCTCTTCCGTCTGGTTGGAAGAGCCGAGCTCTGGGAGCCGCCATACTCCACTGTGTTCCCCAGACCGCCTGTAACGATGGCACGTCCCGGTGGGCTGGCTTCCAGCAGTGACAGCATGGCACGCCCTGAGACTGGCAGGGTGGGTGGGGATGATGGCTCTAGCGCGTGGCCTGCGGGATGAGCTAATGGGCGCTGGAGCTCTGCATCCCTAGGCTGCCAGCTCCTGCCCAGCCCAGGTTGGGCAGCGGCTGACGGTCGTAGCCATTTGGGGGCTCTGTGATTTGCATTGGTGTGGGGCGGTCTCTGCCCACTTGCCTGGTCGGGCAGTGCCCACATCCCAGGACATTGGTGTGGTTGTCTGCCCCTGGAGGGGAGTCCTGCCAGCTCACGGCCTGGGGAACCTCACCCAGCAGCTGCCACTCCTGTCCCTGGTCCGTGGCTGCATGGAGGCCCCTGGAGCTGTGGGTGCTGCTTTCATGCCGTCCTGCCCAGCCCAGCGGCTCCTCACCCCCTCGCTCCCTCTCTCTGCAGGATGCCGACAGGTTCGCGCTGCCGCCCCACTTGGAGGAGGGCAAGGAGAAGTGCCCGTACGACCCCACCCGCGGCTACACCGGCCTCATCGTAGGTAGGTGGGGCCGGAGGCCGACGGGGCCGCTCGCCTGGGGTTCCCCGGGGAGGTCACGGCTTGATCTGGCTCTGGGCTGTCGCTGAGCGAGTTGGAGCAGCCCAGGAAGGTTTTCCCCCTGCCCCCGCCCAAATCTCTGTGCACCCCTCAGGGGCTAGAGCCAGCCTCCCCCGCCTCTCCTTTCACAGCCAGTCACCTCCCCACAGTGCCCACCTGCCCCACGGCGTGCCAGTTCCCTTCTATCCCGAACCCTGCCCGAGCCCTACACTGCCTGGCGTGGTGCAGCCGCAGGAAGGAGAAATCCCCCCCACCTCCTGCCAGGGTCTCTGCGAGGGTCCAGCCAGGCCCCGATGCGATCAGGGCTGGGGAGCAGTGTCCACGGGCACACGTTACACAGGAGTCCCCGAAGTGGGTCCCTTCCCCTTCCCCCGGCCCCGGTGCTAAGTGAGTGGGATGCGGGTTGGGCCACAGGTGGCTAAACAACGGGGGGACCCTGACCCGACCTTCCCCCCGCTCTCAGACGGCGGGTTGTACACGGCCACGCGGTACGAGTTCCGCAGCCTGCCGGACATCAGGCGTAACTTGCACCAGCGGCCCCTGAAGACGGAAGAGTCCCCCGTGCACTGGCTAAACGGTAAGATCCAGCGGCCCCAGGAGAAACCTGACCCTCCCCCTCCTTTTGCTGGCTCTGAGCGCCCCTTCAGCCCCTCCGGGCCGAACCCTGCCGTCCTCGGGCAGAATAACGCCCAGGGGACATTGAAACGGGCGGAATAGACACGTCTGAGTCGGCCCCGCGACACCCGGGTCTGAAGGGCGTCCTGGGGTCCGACTCTTGGCTGTACGTTTCATCCGCAGCCTGGCACCTCCTCGCTGCCCATCTGGCATGGGGCACAATGCGGGGTGCTCAGGGCGGGCGGGTGCCTTGCCCACCTCCAGATCAGCGGGCCTGGCAGCGGGGCAGAGATACACGTGGCTCCGTGGGGCTGCAAAGTATTTGCACGAACGTGGCCGGCCAAAGGCAGCCGAAAGGGCGTCTCTGCTCCTCATGCCACGCCTTCCCCTGTGCCATGGAGAGGGCGGAAGCCGGGGCCTTCTCCATTAGCGGAGAGCAGGGCACCCGTCGCATGACGCACCCAGGACCATCCTCGGAGCCTTGGCACTGATCCTAGCGACCCACCTCCGTGCCCCTTCCCCGGGAGGGCGTGGCGCTGGCCACGGAGCGAGCAGCTCTGCTTTGTTCATACGGCTGAGTTCCTTTCTCCTCCTCTTGTTTGTCCCGTCAGTCTTTGCCCTCCGCCTCTTTTTGGGAGTGTCCTGGCGGTGATCACTCTCCGAACCTTTTCACAGCCTGGCCCCATGTTGAGTGGCAGCCCGTCCCGCTGCCCACCCTGGCGAGAACCTACCGCCGGGAATCTGGGTCACTCCGGTGACGGGGCACCCTGAACGTCTTGCCATGTCTGGGCGGGCGGGGTGCCCCAGATCACTAAGAGTTGGGGGGTTCGCTAACCAGACCAGCAGTGGGCACAGATGCCAGCTGGAGTGCTCAGGGCGGGGGGATGAGACACAGTACGGATCTCAAAGCTCTTGTCAGGCTCTGCAATAACCCTGCAGGCAGAGGGGCGGGCGGTATCGTCCGTCCTCATTTCAAGGGAAGGAAGCTGAGGCATCCAGAGGGAAAGGGACTCAGCCAGCGGCAGAGCTGGGTACCGATCAGACCCACCACCCGCCCGGCGGCGGGGCGCGTCTGACGCCGCTGCTGTTTGCAGATGCGGAGTTCGTGGCCTCTGTGCTGGTCCGGGAGAGCGTGCGCAGCCCCGTGGGGGACGACGACAAGCTCTACTACTTCTTCATGGAGCGGGCGGCCGAGGAGAGCGCCTCCTTTGACAAGAGCCATGTGGCCAGGGTGGCCAGGGTGGCGCGGGTGTGCAAGGTAAAGAGACGCTGCCGGAGCTGGGGCACGCAGCTGGGCAAAGCTTCCGAGGGAAACCTATAGGGCCTGGGCACGGCTGTTAGGCCAGGAGAGGTTTCACCCTCCCAAGGGGATGCACCCTGAACACTGGTGAATTCGCAGCCGCCCTTGGCACCTTGGCCGGACCAGCGTTGGACCCGGGCACCCCCTCCCCAGGTGCAGGCTGGGCTGCCCCTCGCTGCTGTTATCACTGACGGCGGCTTTTGTGGCCCTCCCTCCTCCCCCGTCCACCAACCTCCCTCTGCGTCTATTTCACGCCATGCCCCTTGCAAGCGTTCGTCCCAGGGGTCCTGGCGCCACTCCAGCTGGGTTTCTGCAGGGCCCACCTCTCTGGAGAGGAGTCCTCCAGCGGCAGCTACAAACGGGCAGCCCGAGGTCAGTTAGTTAAGCGCCGGTGTTGGCGCGAGAACAAATGGCTGTAAACTGACCATCAATAAGTTTAGGCTTGACATTAGGCGAAAGTTTGTAACCATCAGAGGAGTGAAGTTCTGGAACAGCCTCCCAAGGGGAGCAGTGGGGGCAAAAAAACGAACTGGCTTCCAGACTGACCTTGATAAGTTTATGAAGGGGATGTTCTGTTGAGACTGCCTACAGTGGCGTGTGACCCATCTGCGACTGCTAGCAGCAGATATCTCCAATGGCCGGTGATGGGACACAAGATGGGGAGGGCTCTGAGTTGTGACCGAGAATTCTTTCCCATGTGTCTGGCTGGTGGGTCTTGTCCACATGTTCAGGGTCTAGCTGATTGCCATATTTGGGATTGGGAAGGAATTTCCCCCCAGGTCAGAGACCCTGGGTTATTTTTGGCGTCCTCTGTAGCATGGGGCAGGGGTCATAAACTAGTGCAAATGGTGGATTCTCTGTCACTTGATGTCTTTAAACCATGATTTGAGGACTTCGGTAACTCAGCCAGAGCTCAGGGGTCTATTACAGGAGCAGGTGGGTGAGGGTCTGTGGCCTGCGATGTGCAGGAGGTCAGACTAGATGATCACGATGGTCCCTTCTGGCCTTGAAGTCTATGAGCCCCCAGCCCTTGGTGTCAGCGCCCTGCTCCCACCACCAGACTGGCACGAACTGGGCCGGGGCATGGCAGCCTCTGGGGGACGCGAGGGGGTTTAGCCTCCCTCAGCTACATCCGGCACAAAGGCCGATGAGCCGCGAGGGTGGGAGCTGGCTGAGTCCTCTCTGGCCAGGGCAGGCAGGAGCGGGCATGACGCTGCGGTTTGAAGCAGGAGACGGAAGAGGCTGGTGTGCAGACAGGAGCTAAATACACCAGGTGAGGCAGGTTGAGGGGACGACACGGCCTGTCCTCAGTCCCGACGTCCATTGGGGGCAGGAAGGCGCGTGGCTGGGTCTCCGATGGCTGCCCCTCGGGGATCTCGATACTTGGTCCGCTCCCTCCACATGAGTGCTGCACGTCAGTGCCCGCAGGACGGCTCTGCAACAGGGGAACCCCCCAGCGGAGCTAGCCGTCGTCTGCAGGGCGTGCGGGGGCCCGGGGAGGGCGCAGAAGGGGCTCCTGAGAGAGCCTCCTAGGTGTGTGCCGGGTGTGACTGCTGCTGCAGGATGGTGCGAACGCGAGCCGGATTCAACTCACAGCCAGCCCAGAGCCAAATCAGCCGGCAATGCAGAGTAGCCCCGCCCATGTACATGCAGGTGAGGATTGGTTTTGTGGCTATCCTGGGAGCCTGAGGCACGGGCCAGGACCCCGAGGTGCTAGGAGCTGTACAGACACAGAACAGAAGGACAAGCCCTGCCCCAGTAGCTTGCAATCGAAAGGCCGGCTGCAATGGGGTTTACGTCTGGGGAGCCCCCTTCCCTGGCCCGTCTGAGGCCCTGAGCAGCTGCAGGGGTGGGGGGGTTGGGAGCACCCCGGTCCCGGGGGGCTCAGAGGCTGTGACGGGGCAGCCCAGGCGACAACTTCGCCCTCTCCCAGCGCTTCCCTTCCCTTCACAGAGCGACCTGGGCGGGAAGAAGATCCTGCAGCGGAAATGGACGTCGTTCATGAAGGCCCGGCTGGTCTGCTACATCCCCTACTACGAAGTGCTCAAGGCCGTGCACAGCGTGGACGGGGGCAGCTGGCCCAGCACCGTCTTCTACGCCACGTTCACCTTGTCGGCTCAGTGGTGAGTGGGATCCTGCCTGGCCTGCTTTCCCTGCGGGGCCCACAGACTCATCCCCAGAGCAGGGTGATGGATCCACTGGGGGGTCGTGGGCTGGAGCAGTTCAGCTGGGTCGCCTGGTCCCCTGCGGGCGAGCCCGAGAGCTGAGAGAACGGCTGATCCCCGGCTGCAGGGCGCCTGCCCCTGGTCGGAACAGCGGGTTCTGGCCATTCCCCTAACGGACACGTCACAGCTCCTCCCCCTTTGCATCCCGCCGGCCGTCCCCAAACAGGTCCTCTTCCACCACGGGTTCTCTGTGCTTTGTCCACTGCCAGCGTCTGACCCGTTCCCCCGTCACCACCCTGCTGGGCCAGCCAGGCTGCCGGGCCGGGTCCATGTGCTTTCAGCTCCCCGATCTGTGCCGAGCCCGGCCCTGCCTCTGGCTCTCTCGGCGCGCTCTGGGCGGGCAGATCCTCCTCCTAGCACCCCGCGGTCCAGCTGCCTCAGCCCTGGAACCCCCTTCCTGGAGCTCGAGCCTTGGGGCTCTCTGGGCTACGCTCCACCCCAGCAGGGACACGTGAGAGCCGCAGCGCCCAACCACAGGCAGTGCAAACAGCGTTCCCAAACCAGTCCCTCTTTCCTATAGACAGCACAGAATATACGCAGCTCCGGACAACCCACTAAATCACCCGGATGCCACCCCCTGCCTCAGTTTCCCCCCCCACTCTGCAGGATTTGGGTCAGCGTCCTTTCAAGGGTCCTGGACCGCCCTTCCCCTCTCCGTCACTCTGTGTGGGTCTAAAGATTCGTATTGACGCCGGGCCTGTGTTTTCCCCTTCCTGGGGAAATTCCACTGCTCCAAATCCTCCTCGTGGCCAACCACCTGGGGAGCTCGGGTTCCCCCAGCTCAGGCAGCCTCTTTAGCATAACCATTGTCCTGTCACAGCGCAGACGGTAAGGTTAACAACTTCCTTCGTTCATTCAGCCGCTTCTTCCAGAGCAGGGGGTGGTGATAGAGTAAGGGGCCCCCCACGGCTGACTCACGCCCCATTGAGGCGTTCACTGATACAGCAATTTCACCCAGTGACCCAGACTTCGTGAGCTGTACGTAGCCAGATCCCCCAAAGCATGTCACCCCCACCCCGCCAAGTGACGATCTACCTTAGCGCGCGCAGATCTGGCCACGCTCCGCAGCATGGGAACGGTACGTGTAGGGACCGTGAGAAAAGCCGAGAGCATCATGCGGTTTTAAACAAGTTCTTCGTCGCGCTGTTCATGGGGCGGCTCGGGGCTGTTGATGGCCCTGGTGTCACAGCTGACTTGTTCCTGGGAATGGTGCGAACAAGAGGCAGTGTATAAACGTATAACTGGGAAAACCCAGTGCCCGGAGCTCAGGAGGAAGACACAAAGCCCAGGTTACGGGGACCGCAGAGAGAGGTGGTGGTTTTCCTAATTTGCTGGTTTATTCCCCAACCTCGACACTCTTGCTCCACAGGGAGCTTTCTGCTTTCACCGTCCATTCCAAACGCATCGGGTGTTACAAACGTTTGGGCCCCTGTTTGCAATGCTCCATTTGTGTGCAGAGGGCAAACCTGGACAGCAGGGGATCAATGGGGCACAGAATCGTAGAATATCAGGGTTGGAAGAGACCTCAGGAGGTCATCTAGTCCAACCCCCTGCTCAAAGCAGGACCAACACCAACACCAACTAAATCATCTCAGCCAGGGCTTTGTCAGGCCGGGCCTTAAAAACCTCCAAGGATGGAGATTCCACCATCTCCCTAGGTAATGCATTCCAGTGCTTCACCACCCTCCTAGTGAAAGTTTTTCCTAATATCCAACCTAGACCTCCCCCACTACAACTTGAGACCATTGCTCCTTGTTCTGTCATCTGCCACCACTGAGATCAGCCGAGTTCCATCCTCTTTGGAACCCCCTTTCAGGTAGTTGAAAGCAGCTATCAAATCCCCCCTCATTCTTCTCTTCTGCAGACTAAACCATCCCAGTTCCCTCAACCTCTCCTCATAAGTCATGTGCCCCAGCCCCCTAATCATCTTTGTTGCCCTCCGCTGGACTCTCTCCAATTTGTCCACATCCTTTCTGTAGTGGGGACCCAAAACTGGATGCAATACTCTAGGTGTGGCCTCACCAGTGCCGAATAGAGGGGAATAATCACTTCCCTCGATCTGCTGGCAATGCTCCTACTAATACAGCCCAATATGCCGTTAGCCTTCTTGGCAACAAGGTCACACTGCTGACTCATATCCAGCTTCCCGTCCACTGTAATCCCCAGGTCCTTTTCCGCAGAACTGCTGTTTAGCCAGTCGGTCCCTAGTCTGTAACAGTGCATGGGATTCTTCCTTCCTAAGCGCAGGACTCTGCACTTCTCCTTGTTGAACCTCATCAGGTTTCTTTTGGCCCAATCCTCCAATTTGTCTAGGTCACTCTGGACCCTATCCCTACCCTCCAGCGTATCTACCTCTCCCCCCAGCTTAGTGTCATCAGAGGAGCCCGAAGGCTTCCCCACAGAACGGTTAACTGTCGCTGCATGCATTATGTTGCAGGTGGCAGGGGAGGGAGGGGAACAGTTCTGGCAGGCTTCCTATCGCCACCTTATCTGGTGGAAACGCAGCCCAGTTAAACAGGAGGAGGTTTAGCGGGAACCAGAGCTAGCACGGAGCCGGGGCGTATTTCACTTGGGCACATCTGGGCCAAGCTCCGATGGCCGTTTCAATGGAAAGGGGCGTTTCCTGTTGGTTATTGACACTGATGTGAATTCTAATGAATCGCTGCCTGGCTAATTAGCCGGGTCTGTTGCTAGAAGCCTGACACTGACGGTGGCTATTTATAGCTCAATGGCACAGGGAGAAGGACTGGGCTTGGATGGTTTCTATAGAGAAATTCATTAATGATCACCCAGGGGGCTCGTTAACCCCCCAGGAGTGGGTCAGCCTGGGGAGTGTGCAGGCAGCCGGGAAGAATCCAGGTGTGAGAGGGTTAAATTAAAGGGAAAGCGGCGATGGCACCATAGCCTAGTAGTTAGTGCACTCCCAGGCAGGGGTCCTGATCCACTCTCCAGGGCAGCAGCCTTCCTCGCCCGGCCGGTAAGGGGGAGGGTGAAGATGAGCGGGGAGGGGAGGGAGCCTCTCGAGGCGGCAGCAGCAAGCAGTGATCCATCCCGCTCCTGTTGACCAGGGAACCGGAAACCACCTCCTGAGCTGGGTCTCACCCAGACACCCCCCCCACCCCAGGGCCAGCTTCTCGCATTGAGCACACCGGGCGAGGAAGGGGCAGCAGCCCAGGGCAAGTGTGTCCAGGGATCACAGGGCCATCGCGCTACCAAGCACGGAGCTGGGCGTTCACCCTCCCAGTTGTACCGTAAGCTGGGCCGAGGGCGCTGGGCCGGGGCTTAGACCTCCTCTGTGCCCTTGGGCAGGTCAGCGACTGGGAGGTGGGAATAGGGCCGGGCCAGCACTGAGGAAGAAGCCCCCTCTTGCTCCACCCCGCAGTGGGGGCTGGATGCCAGGCTGTCTGGGGTTGGGAAGGAATTTCCTCTGGGGTGGGGCACAGGGGCTGTAGGAGCCAGCGGGGCCGTGAGAGCCAGCAGGGGTCCCCCAAGCCACGTGCTGAGGGCTGGCCGCTCGCCGGGGGCTGCCCTTCCTCGGCTCTGTGTGTCACGGGGTAGGTTTAACAGAGTGGGGAAACTGAGGCACACGTTGGGGCTGGGGCTCGTTGTGCACTGGGTCAGTGGCAGAGACAGGAATAGAGCCCTGGAGTCCTGACTCCCGGAGTCCTGGGAATGCTTCCCTCCACCTCCCGTCCTGCTCATGTGCCAGCATTCGCCTCTGGTGAGGGCGTGCCGCTCTCAGCCCCTCCAGCAGGCCTGGTCTGGGGCCCCCTCGGGATCTCCCCAGAGAGCCCTGGCTTGGGAAATCGCCAGGCTCCCAGACTTGGGGGCTCTTCCCCGACCTGCGGGGCCTCCGCCTGGCACTCCCCCGCCCCCCGCTGTGCGGCGGGTGACCCTGCTATTGAGTCTCCGTTCCCTACCAGCTCATCTCTGGTGCCTTTGGGCTGATCTGCCCACGCTGCTGCGGGCAGGGGGCTGGCAAACAGCGCGGGGGCGCAGCGACCTCGCTGCCGGAGTGAGGCAGCCACTGGGAGCAGAACCGGAACCGCCTGGGCTTTTGCTGGTTCCTCTTGCGGAGCGGCCCACCTGGGGGACCAGGACTGGAACAGCAGGGGGGCTGCGGGTCGGGATTGAGGGGCGTTGGCAGAGCTGTGTGCTGCCCGGGTTGGCGAGGTCGCCCATCTGCTCCCTGTGCTGGGCGTGGACAGTGGCTCTGTGTCATTTGTGGACGCACTGTCCACCCCCCCTGTCCCTCCTAGGGCCTGCTGCTCCCACGTCCCATCCTGCCACAGCTCTGCCAATGCCAGCTGCCGCTCTGGCGTTTGCCAGCCGGTGCCTGGTGGCGCCGTTTTCCATTCCCTTTCCCTGGAGAGACACGTCTGGGCCTCAGGAGGCTGGGGTTCACTGCCCCTGCCTTGCCGTGTGACTCTGGGCAAGCCCCTTCCCCCTCTGGGCCTCGGGTTCCCGTCTGTAAAATGGGCATCATGCGACAGATCCACTTTGCCGCCTGCTTTGAGGTCTCCGGCTGCCGGTCCATGGGACGGTCCTGTCGTTATTTCAGAGCCCCTTGTCCTCCTCCAGGAAAGCTTGGGTGTTTGGGGCCGTTTCGGTAGGATCCAGCTCTCAGTGAGGGAGAGGGCGGCGTGGTCAGTGGCTGGGGCGTCTGGCGGATGGAGCAGAGGTGCGTGTAGCCCTTGGGGGGGGCCGCGGGTCACTGATCCTGTCGCCCTCTCTCCTAGGAGGAGCATGGAGGCATCCGCCGTCTGCCAGTACAACATCTCTGAACTGCAGAGGGCTTTCGAGGGCCCCTACATGCAATACCAGGACAACACCCGCAAATGGACCCTCTACGACGGGGAGGTGCCGGCCCCGCGGCCGGGCTCTGTAAGTGACCTGGCCACGCCAGCGCCCCCTGCTGGCCTGCAAACATGCCCTCGGGCTTCATCCCCAGGAGGGATGGGCGAGGGGCAGCAGGGATGGGGCTGGGAGCCACGAAGACCTGGATTGCTGGTCCCAGCTCTGCTGCTGACTCACGGCCAGGCCCACCGGTTCCAGCATGCATGGCTCCCTCCTCGAGGTCTGGGGGGCAGGGGGTGGCGCTCACACCCCAGCCGCCAGCCACTTCCCGAGTTTTGGAGGGTTGGGGGGGAGGAATCAGCTGAATGTGAGCTAATGCGATCCGGGGATGTATAAACGGGAATCTCGAGGAGGAGTAGAGAGGTTATTTTAGCTCTGTATTTGGCCCTGGGGCGACCGCTGCTGGGGTCCTGTGTCCGGGTCTGATGCCCGCAGTTGAGGAAGGATGTTGATCAATTGGAGGGGGTCAGAGAATGGTTCAAGGACTGGAAAACCCACCTGGTAGCGATAGACGTAAGGAGCTCAGGCTAGCTAGCTGAACAGAGAGCAGGTGAAGGGGGGACTGATCACAGTCTGTCAGCACCGAGGGGGGGAACAAATATTGGGTAATGGGCTCCTCAGTCTGGCAGACGACGATCTAACACCATCTGAAGCAGGACAACTTCCGACCGGAAATAGAGTAACTAACCGCTGGGGCAATGTACCAAGCGGCTGGTGGATTACCCGTCACTGGCGGGTTGGAAATCCAGACTGGGCGCTTGTCTGAACTCTGCTCTAGGAGGGTTTTGGGGGCAGGTCTCTGGCCTTTGCTATGCAGGGGGGTCAGACTAGTTGATCCCAGTGGTCCCTTCTGGCCCTGGCGTCGAGGAAAGCCCTGGAGGCCGAGGCGGGAAGGGATCCCGTGTAACGCAGAGCAGGATGTTTCACCCCGTGCTGAGGCCAGGTGCAGTCAGACCACAGCACGTCAGTCGTCAGGACTGAAAGGAACAGGAGCGCCCATGCACCGAGCCCCATGCAATGGGTTAGGTGAGACGTGCCCAGGTGATCCCCGCAGATCCGAGCCTGCCAGGCGCTGTTCACCAGCTGCTGTGTCCCGCCCCAGAGGTGGCCGCATTGGGCCAGCGGGCAGGCTGCGTACCCGTCCCTAGCCATCTCTCCTCCCCCGTGCAGTGCATTACCAACCGCTCCCGCGAGGACGGCTACCGCTCTTCCCAGGACCTGCCCAACGGCGTGCTGGATTTCATCAAGCTGCACCCGCTGATGTTCGAGGAGGTGAAGCCGGCACGGGGGGAGCCCCTGCTGGTGAAGAAGAACGTGCTCTACACGGCCCTGGCGGTGGACAGGGCGCCGGCCCTGGATGGCCAGCAGTACGACGTGCTCTTCATGGGGACTGGTGCGTCGGCGCCGCCCCTCCCCCACGTGAAGGGTTGGGGGGGCAGTGTTGTCTGGGGGCCCTGAGTCGCTCGCCCAGGCTGGGTGGGACGGGGGACCCCAGCGTGGCTGGGGGGCCTGGGCGGAAGCTGCCACCGGAGAGGAGACCCACAGAAGGAGGGGGGGTAACTCAGAGTCCCACACCCCCATCGGGGCAGCAGCCAGGGGCTGCCGTGCCCAGGCCGGGGGGGAACTTAGCTGTGCGGTTGCCCGACCCCAGCCCTGGCCTGTGGGCACAGCGCTCTCCCGCCCGGCGCTGCCCTGACGGTGCCCCTCTGCCTTTGCCCAGGTGACGGCTGGCTGCACAAGGGGGTGGTGATCGGCTCCGCCGTACACATCGTGGAGGAGCTGCAGGTCTTTGGGGCCCCCCAGCCCGTGGAAAGCCTGGTGATCTCCAAAGGCCAGGTGAGACGCCGCTCCGGGCTGCACCCCGACTCCGCCGGGGGGGACAGAGTAGAGCCAGCCCCCGAGGGGGAGGCACTGCGGACACGCCGCCCCTCCAGGGGCCCTCTCGCTTGTAGATGGCAGAACAAAATGGGCGTGTTGAAGCCCTTGGCTGCCGTAGCCCGCAGCCAGGCCCATTGAAATCTAGTGGCGCATCGGGGCGCCCCCCTGCGGGGGGATCGGGGCCAGGGAGACGGGCGAGGAAGGAGAGGCAGGGACTTCTGCCGGCTGGAGCAGGGGGCCGGGCGTCAGGACGCCTGGGTTCTATTCCAGAGTCTGCCACTGACTCCCGCCCATCCGCGGCCCCTCTGTACAGTTGCCCGGGCGGGGGCAGGAGGAACAGCCGCCTTCGCGTCGTTAGCTGGGCTGCCAGGCCCTGGCGCTGCAGGGCGGCAGTGAATGGGGCCCCCGGGGCCTGTCTCCCACCCAGCCACGCTCTAAACTCACGCTCTAAACTCCTTCCTGGGCAGCTGGCTGAGCAGAGAGGCCTGGCGGTGGGTGGCCGGCACTCCCTGGAGCCCGGCTTGCCCAGAGAGTTGGCAGCACTGATTAGCCAGCCTGGCCCCCTGCCCACGGCGGAGGCGTGGCCTGGCACTGGCTGACCCCAGCTTGGAATGCCAGAGCTTATCGGAGCCTGGGCACCCTCGGCTGCCTGCCAGCCTGCCCGCCCCAGGGCGGGGACTCAGAGCTGTGCTGTGGGGCAGGGCACCTCCCCACGCCCCAACGTTAACCCCTCTTGGGCAAGGCGCTGGCGCTGGCTGGCGCACGTGGGGCAGGGGGCTCTGCTGAATGAGAGGGGCGTCCCTGGGGCCCCTCCCTGCCCTCGGGGGTCTCAACCCCCCTCTCTCCATCCTGCTGCCCTTATCCGAAGCCCTGGGGAGCCTCCCCCCGTGCACCCCCGCTGGCTTTCCAAGCACAGGCCTCAGCAAGCCAGAGGAGGCAGCAACGGCAGAGCCAGGCCCCACCCCCCGCCCAGTGGGGCAGGGCCTGGGGCTGTTCCCCCATGGCCATTGTTACTGGGGCCTCTGCATGGGGGAAGGGAAACCCCCCTCTTTGTAGCGCCCCCATCCCAGCCCCTCAGTTGGGGGGTGCAGCCCAGAGCCTAGGAACCAGGCAGCCAGGAACCGTACTGATCCCCTGGGTGCCACGCAACCCCGGGCCCCCATCGCTTCCCCAACACCACGGGAGTGAGTCGATTGGGGGGTGAGCCCCGTCCCATGGGGGGACTGAGGCAGTGACCTGCCCAAGGACACACATAGGTCAGTGACACAGCTGGGAGGAGAACCCAGGAGTCCGGGCCCTCAGCCTCCCGCTCTAACCACTAGACATGCTGCCTCCCAGAGCTGGGAATAGAACCCAGGAGTCTTGATCCCCAATGTCCTGCTCTGTGCCCAGCGGAGCCGCTGCCTGGCTGGGGCTAGTTTCTGGGGGGCAGATTCTCTTAGGCCTCGGTTCAGGTGTGTGTCTGACGATGCCCTAAGGGAAGGTGCGTTCCCACGTCGGTGTGATCGAGTTTCGCCTCGGCCCGGACCAAGGTTTCAGCCGGCTCGTAATACCGGGGTCTCTGCTCTTCGCCTACAGAGAAGCGTGTACGTGGGGGCTGCCAGCGGAGTCCTACAGCTCCCCCTGTCCAGCTGCGCCAGGTACGGCTCCTGCTACGACTGCATCCTGGCCCGGGACCCCTACTGCGCCTGGGACGGCGAGGGCTGCAGGGAGGTGGCCGGCGCTGCGGACAGGTACAGAACCGCTGAGCTTCTCCTGCCCCAGGCCTCCCAGCGGGGAGGTCCCGGCCCCTGAGTGGCCTGCCGCGCCCAGCTCCTGCTGCCCGGGTGAGACACGGCCGTGGGGTTACAGGAGCTGCCGGCCCAGCCCGGGCTGGAGGGATGCTGGACTCAGCCAGCCAGAACGCCGTCTGGGAACTGGAGCGCTGCTGGGTGCGGAGGGGGGCACCGCAGCCTCCCCCAACGCTGCCCGGCAGGACAGCTCGTCCTGTGCAGGGTGAACCCCCCTCCTGGTGTCTCCTGCTGGGGACGTGCGCCGGGACATTGGGACTTCCCTACGCCCCGGCCCACCAAGCAAACCTCCCCCTGCCAGCTCCACCACCGGAGGGGCTGCGGTGCCAGCTTAGCCCTTCGTTGGCATTGGTGGCCCCTTCCCAGAGCTGGCCTGGTGCTCAGGGAGCCCCGACTTCTCACCCCGGCTCCCACGCTGCCCCCGGGTGCTTCCTTCGCCCAGAATGGCACCGTTAACCGGGCTCTGATCAGAGCTGGGATGCTGGGGACCAGCTGGCTCTGTGTGCGTGTGTGTGCGTGTCTGCAGGCAGAGCTGTGTGCATGTGTACCTGTCTGTAGGCGGGGCAGGGTGTGCACGCGTGTGTGTGTCTGCGGGCGGGGTTGTGTGTGTGTGTCTGCGGGCAGGGCTGTGTGTGTGTGTCAGCAGGTGAGGTTGCGTGTGTGTGTGTGTGTGTCTGCGGGCGGGGTTGCGTGTGTGTGTGTCTGCGGGCGGGGTTGCGTGTGCGTGTATGTATGTCTGCAGGCGGGGCTGCGTGTGTGTGTCTGGAGGTGCGGCTGCAGGTGCGTGTCTGCGGGCGGGGTTGCGTGTGTGTGTGTGTGTGTGTGTCTGCGGGCAGGGCTGCGTGTGCGTGTCTCTTAGGGCCGTCGGCCCCCTGCTGACACGGCCCGTCTTGCTCCTCACAGGACCCAGCTGACCCAGGACGTGCAGCACGGCAGGGAGGGCTGCTGGAACGGCTCCGCCCAGGGTGAGGCTCCGCCCCGCCCCGCCCCGCCCCTGTGAACTCAGGCCAGGACCATCAAGCCTCCGCCCCACGGGAAGCGTCTCGCTGGCCCCCTCACAGCCCCCACCTTCACCCCCAGTTCCCCGGGAGGGAGGAGTCGTCGTCCTGCCCTGCCCAGTCACTGCGCTGGGGGGCTCCCTCCCAAAGCATTCTGGGAACTCTCACGGCCCAGCCATTGCCTTACCATGGCAGTCCCTGGGGGGGGGCAGTCCCAAGGCATTCTGGGAACTCTCACGGCTCAGCCATTGCTTTACCATGGCAGTCCCGGGGGGGGCAGTCCCAAGGCATTCTGGGAACTCTCACGGCTCAGCCATTGCCTTACCATGGCAGTCCCGGGGGGTGCAGTCCCAAGGCATTCTGGGAACTCTCATGGCTCAGCCATTGCCTTACCATGGCAGTCCCTGGGGGGGGGGGCAGTCCCAAGGCATTCTGGGAACTCTCACGGCTCAGCCATTGCCTTACCATGGCAGTCCCGGGGGGTGCAGTCCCAAGGCATTCTGGGAACTCTCATGGCTCAGCCATTGCCTTACCATGGCAGTCCTGGGGGGGCAGTCCCAAGGCATTCTGGGAACTCTCACAGCTCAACCATTGCCTTACCATGGCAGTCCCCGGGGGGGGGGGG